TTTATTAAAATTCAGGCTCTTTATTGTGAATCATGGAAAGCCCACCACCACTTTATATTTTAGTAAGTAGAATACTATTAAATCAATCACAACGTGTTTCATGTGCACTGACACACCTATGTCATATAGATTTAAATAACAGAAACACTGATTTTAATGCCACAAAAAGCACAATAAAATCCAAGAAATCAACCAAATGAAAGATCACGTCCAAAAACTCAAACAGGCCACATTAAATAGAAAGGCAAACCAGAAGAAATATTGAACTCATCTATTATCCACAACACAAACACTGAACCATCAGCACACATCAGCACTGCCTAAATGCTTCTGAGCACTAAGCCATAAGGCACATTAGTTTCATCAGTTTTCACTTTGCTATAACAATAACTCATCAGTAGTGGTGCTAGTCACTTGTCATATGATCACTGAGAAGGTAGCTTCACTGACCATGGAGTGCATATACCGTATTGACCCGAATATAAGACAATGTTTTTTTCTTGGAAATACATCTGAAAAAAAACGCGGTCGTCTTATATTCAGGGTCTAGACTTTGACATGTCAATAATACACCCACAACAATAGGTGGCGCCAAATACGCATAAAACGAGTGTGCCATGAAATACGTAATGTAATGCGTGTTGTAAAGATCGCGAGTAAAAATAAAAGAAAAAGAAAACCTTACAGCTGCATGAGTCGTGACTGTCAAGTTAGCCTGATGGCACCAAACTCCCTTTGTGATTTTAAGACTACAGTAAGATTTAACTTCTACTGTTAATAAGATTTTGGTAGGCTACTATTAGATGGATAGCCTAAATGTCCTAATTCAGATGGACTACCTGTTTTTTTTTTTTTTTAATGGTATATCAAAAAGTGCATATTTTTTAAATGTGATTGTTGGTACATTTTACCAGTTTTTACCATACTTTCAAAACAAAAAATTAAAATAGGAAAAATATGCAATATGAAAATAATTGAAGACAAAATGTGTTTTACTGAGAAAAAACAAGATTTGGTTTTTAAAAAGCCTTTTTCCAAAAGGTACATCTGGAAAAAGGGGGGTCGTCTTATAATCAGGGTCGTCTTATATTCGGGCCAATACGGTACTACATGAATTCAACCAGGGTCTGGCTCGTGTACCACCCACACTCACACACTATCACATGCTGGCGAGTGTACAGACAGTGTAGTCATGTATCTGCTGACTTGCTCTGTCCAGGATAATGTTGTTAGATACACAAGCAAAAGATTAACCACTATGTAAACTGGACAGTGAAATAAGATTCAGGAAAAGTCTTTGTATGAAAAGGTTAGACCATTGGGCAGTGAGGCAATAAATTACATTTTAGCCCCTTCTATATCAGCACTTTGCTGCTACAAGAAAACTACAAGTACTATAAAAGTACCACCACAAAGCACACACACACTGTTTCCATGTTTTATGGGGACATTCCATAGACGCAATGATTTTTATACTTTATATTTATATTTTAATATTTTCTATCCCTTCCCTTTATTTTCTATCCCTAACCCTACCCCTAAATCTACCCCTTACACAAAACTTTCTGCTATTTTAGATTTTCAAAAAAGATTCTTCTGAATGATTTATAAGCCTGTTTCCTCATGGGGACCAAAAAACGTTCCCACAAGGTTAAAATGTACTGGTATAACCTTGTGGGGACATTTGGTCCCCATACCACAGGGAATACCAGGACCCCACACACACCGTCTATCAAACAGACCTGTCCTTGACCTCCCACATGTGATAAACTGCTTCCAGGTCAACTGAAGGTCAAGCCAATTGTCTTTCAAGTCTAACCACACACACACACACACACACACACGTATAAATGCATGTCTTCATACATACAAACAAACAGAACTGAAACAAAATGGTTCAATTTCAGGATCATCATAACATAATTTGCAGTGGAATGAATGAAAATAAATATACTGATAGATACATAAAATTACAATATTATAAAATGTGTCAAATATAGTTAGGATGCATACCTTTAACAAAATTGCATAACATGTTCTAAATAAATAAACAGATGCAACAATCACAGTACATATATGTACAGCATACATATGTATGTATGTATATATATTTATATACACACACATAATTATTTACCCACAATCCCTTTACAACAAAGAGCCACATGCTTTGAAAACAACAAATGGATGATTACGTGAACACAGAAACAAAAGCACCAGCAAAGTTCAAACTACATCAGACGTACACAAAATCAAATGGATCATCAGCAAGATCAATAATAAACCTGGGTTGCTATGACAACAGCACTTGCCAATACAGAAATAAAAGCCAGCTTAGAAAGAAAGCAAGAAAGAAAGAAAAAGAAAGAAAGAAAGGTTATTATCTTTGGGACTTGTGAAGAATCTTGCTGGCAGAGCACTAGCTGCTATCACAGAAATCACATCCGCTCCCATGGCTGAGAGACAGTGGTTTCTAGGGAGCAGCCGTACTGGCCACTAAGAGGACACAAAACCACAAACAAAGAGCAAACTCATGGAAACTGTGCTGGAAACCCAGCTAGCCTGATACAAGTATTCACCAAACCAAAGCCTCTATACAAATCACTTCTACAAGTTTTGCTTCAGGACCCAGATTTAACACTAACATAGCATCAAAACTGTTTAGAATACAAAAGCATGACCTATCAGCTGAGAACCAGTGAAATATACTGTCTCCTGGACACTGCACTCTGTGAAATACATTTAGACAGTCTGGCGCAGAGCTGGGCACCATTCACCCATCCAGCTGATTGCTATATTTAATTTCTAATTATGCCTGGAATACAGAAGCCAATAAATCAAAAGTTAATTAAAGTCATGGATTCATCTTTAGTGGCAACTCAATCATCTCAAACCCATTAACACTGCAGATGAGGGACAACTACTGTGTGTGTGTGTGTGTGTGTGTTCATGTATGTGTCTATGTAAATGAATGAGAAAGAGAGGAAGATGGACAAAAGCCTGAAACATGTCACATTACCTTAGTTTAAAATGTTTTGGATTTTTTGGATTAAAAAAATTGGCATGTGGAGTCAAGTAAATGATTTTCTATCATTATTTACAGTATCTATCATTATTGTTACTATTTTCTGACAAGAACAGCATACAGTAATCTAAATACCTCATTGCATTCAGATTTAAAGCATAACTGGATTCAAATCTAATTGTTTAACAAGCATTTTATAATGTTCACACACACTAATGTTAAACTACCAATTTGACATGTCAACAAAATGCTGCTTTGACTGGAACAAAAGCTCTAGGTGAACTAAACAGAGAACCATCATCAATTTTCTTTCTTTCAAAGTCACATGCCCGGAATTGCCTGCAGCCATTGACTGGAAATTATACCTAAAACATTCCCACTGATTGCACACATGCACAAAACATGCAATACAATGTGCACCCACACACACATATCTACTAACTCAAACCAAAATAACAAAAGAAAAAAGAAAAAACAACTCCAGCCAACGCCTAGCATAGAGGAGGGGTTTTGTGAAGAAAGAAAAAAAATTAATTGATGTGTTACCCCTCACAAACAACAGCAAGAAGTTATTTACTTCATAGATGGCACGTTGCCATAGCAACAGACAAGGGAACCCTGATACTAAAGACCATGTGATCAAAATATGAAAAATAGCACCAAAAATGAGTGTATGTATGTGTATGACCATTATAGTGTTATATACTATTTCCCCCCAAAAAGCAAAAAAACTGGAAGGAGCATCTTTCTTTCTTCATACACAGCGTGAGAATAGGGACTGCAATAATTAAGAACGACACACATTAATCTCCATTAATCTTTTTTGGAGCCAAGCAGTGCTGAATCCCAGGGTCCAATATAATGAACAGAGGATCTTCTCACTCTTCTTTTCTTTCTGTCTATCTTATCCTCTCTAATACTGTTTTTTTTTCCTCTTGTGCCCAATTATTCAATTCTCATATATTTGCAGGTCCTTTTCACCAGCTGGAGAACCATCTAAATCCCTCTTAATGATGATAAAACCCTGAGTATTATACAAACAGGTCTCTGTATGCAAAAATAGCATTTTATACACTGTCTATAGATCTGACATTTTCAGTCATGAACAGGAAGTGAGGAAACAGCATCAAGAACCCTAATATAACTCTTAGCTTAGGGTTGCGACCGATAGACGATAGTATCGTGTATCGATGATAGTCAGAGATACCTGATGCCTTTGACGATATCAAGACAATTATTATTATTATTATTAGGCTAGTATTATCTAATTACTGTTAGAGCTTATTTGTTCCACCATATTTCTTTTTACAGTGTTGCATGCTATAATCAATCACACACGATTCCGTTGAGTTCATGAATGCAATGGCCAATCAGAGGCATTCAGATGAGTCATCGCTGAAACACCGGTGTTTTGTTGTTGAGTGCGCGCCTCGCTGACTGGATTCCGCTCTCTCGCGAATTCTCTCATCATAAAAAAAGTGCAGATGTATGTGCGATGTAAGTATAAGAGACAGCTTCACTGATTATAATGGGAGTGTTTTTTTAAACTGCATAAACTCGCGCTAGACTGAAGTCATTGATGATGTTTTTTGATAAGGTAAATGTTCTTTGCTCGTTTTCTGTAGCTGCTGTTTGAATAACTGAGGAATATCAAGACATCCATGTGCTACTTGACTAAAAAGATATAATGTGTAGTTAAAAGATTACACTAACATTAGGCTGCCGTATCCTGGAGTTGGTTCACTCTCCGGCTATAAACTAAGTAAACAATTTAAAAAATGAGCATGATAATATCATAAATCGGCGATCTCATAGGCTGACGATAGGACTATGGAGCAAATCGCCCAACACTATTAGCCATCCACATAAAGCTCTTAGAATTTCAAACAACACCTTGGCAATTCAGGAGCAATCAAGGATTTTATGTCTGTGAACTCAGCTGTTGAACTGCAGTTATTATGAATTTATGTCTTACTTTGAGAACAAGTAGGAGGCGTCCTGTCTCGTATCCGACACCCACTCTGCGCTTCCTCTCCCAGGTCAACCAGTTGCCAAAGGCCTCTCCCCCTGTCGTCACGGCGATCGAGGCGAAGGCGGAGCCTGACGCTCTGCACACCCAGGACGCTTGGTATCCAGGAGACAGTGGAATCCTCCAAATCCCTGCCACGCAGTCTCATTCCCACAGCGACTCCCACATCGACCAAAACATTACACTGGGAGACAAACACACACATATTGAGAACATTAGAGCAGTGTGCATCATACAATTCTCAGCTACACCGCTGAGGGACATACATTATTTCTTTAAGGTAACAAGTTGTCTAACATCAGATTAGAACAAAATTACCAATGAATGTTCAATTCCACCACTTTCTGAGTAGAAGAGTGGAAAAAACAGACTGCAGCATCTTATTGTCATCATCAATTTAAAAATGTATTATACTAAGACTGGGAATTTAAAGGGATCTATTCACAAATCTTTCAAGATTTGCAATTGAAACGATACATTCTTACTATTCTAACTATTTTTTTATGGATATAGAACATTCTAAATATTTTCCCCCAGAAAGTAGGTGGTCTCTGAGAAAACAAAATACAGTAAAAAAAATAAAAATAATTATAATTATATATATATATATATATACTGTATATTATGATGACAAAATGTAAATGATTATATTATGATGACAAAATGTAAATTATTCTTTTATTATGCATTTATACTTTTGGGGGGAAAATTTGGGAGGGTTATATATATATATATATGTGTGTGTGTGTGTGGGTCCCACATTTTTTTAATAATTAATTTTTTTATTTTAGCAACATTTTTCATTTTTGTTTAAAGTTACTAAAATTCTAAACAAAACAACATTACTAAACTTCAACTAAAATTAAAATGAAAACTGAAAAAAAAATTATTAAAATCTAATTTCAAATTAACAAAATAATCTATCAATGATACTAAATAATGTCAAGAAACGTTCAACATCAAGCTTCAAGAGATACATCGAGGTGGCTTGGACAGTGACCTGAAAGGATGTTAACAATGGCTAGCAAAAAACTAGTAAAATTTAATAGCTATTCAGTCTATGACTGATTATTCTTTGTGTTTAAAATAATCCAAATAGACATATGTGTAAGGTAGGGTAACAGCTTTATCTGAGCCATATTTCGACTTGGGTAACAAATTCCAGCAGCTTTAAATACCCACCAGAATTCCAGTTTCACACATAAAAGCAACTACAAGTACCTTTTGAAGTGTAAGGGATGATTTCATTAACTTTTCATTAACTTAAATTTCTCAGGGATCTTTGTCAGCACAATAAACGATCAGACCAATGCTTTATTTGGCAAAGGAATATGTCTTGGCAGCCATTCCTGACCCAACCACTGGGTAGGCATGTTTGTTATTCAGCCGAGTGGTGATGCAACGCATCTTCAAAGTATAGATGACCCAAAGTGGTCAGGACATCACACACACACACCACCACCATCACCACCACTACAGGCAACTGTGGATTTCAAAATGATCAAACACACGTTTGTACCAGAAAATAACTAATAACAACACATCCAGGGACGTAACAAATGTAAATGAGTTTCTCCACTGCAAAGTTATATGTCCCTGTGGAATGAAGTCAATTTAGAAATCTAGTAATTTAGTACAAGAAGCCTTCATTAAATTCAAGTTTGTAATTTTACTATACACAAACGTATATATGTAGCAACAACCTCTTGTTGTATCATCTGCACTTATTCTACAAAAAACTCCCTAGAGGTTTGTAAACTCTGACTATTTCTATTCTGCATAATAAGGTCTCTCAGATTTAAGTCTATTATAACCACAAATAACCATTTCCATTCCTTTCAGCAACAAAATATGCAGCATGAAAATCAGATGTTGAATTTTGGTTTTAAAAAAGCAATGAATTCGACTGACCAAAAGAAAATTTATAATAAAAAATTAGATGCAAATTAGCCAACTGTGCCAAACAGTGCAGCTATTGTTAGGAAAATTGGACTGGAGGAGAATAGATGATCTTTCACCACACAAGACAAAAAGTCTTGTTTTTTAATAACTATCCTAATTCAAGCATCCTTTAAGCCGTTTCTTTACAGTCTTCAGAGGAAACCTAAGCATTTCAATCATTTAATTTCATGGCACAAATTTTTTCCATCCAAATGTAGATTAAAGTGAACCATATTCCAAGCTAGTTCACAACCTAGTCCTTTTCCGAAGCTCACTCATATGGTTTAAATTACACTTAATAATTTAACTTAATGTGTTCTGATTTCCTGCTCGGAGAAACATTTGATATTAGAATGTGCATCTTAATGGAAAAAGTTAAATTGCTGCTAGATGTATAAGGTATTTCTAAAGTACTGCAGCATTTGATAGAGCATTACACTGTATTGCATGTTTAAAGTAGTTAACAGTATGTATATAGAGTGCACAGCAAAATAGTCCTACAATATATGTTTGATTTTTCAACTGAATCAATGGCTGCTAGTCTTTGAATGTAAACTCCAGGAAAACACGGTGTAGTAGTCTAACAAAGGGTTGTAAACAGTGACCTATGGAAATCATTTCACCAGGGGGTTTGAGTACTCCCTAATACTGAACCATTCCTATGTAGTTTAATGAGAGTAATGGGACCCAGCTGATATGAGCCAGTCATATCACACCCTGAGAGCCAGTTTACAATTTAACTTCCTTAGCCTTCAGCACAACAAATCAGTGCAAAAGAGAGCTGTGCTTCACTATCACAAACTCAAACCTGAACCCTCTTCCTTTTTAGTTATTACATAATAAAAAAGACTGAGATGAGCAGTCTGGATGCAGAAGTTTGCGTGCTTTGCTCTCACAGCAGACCGGCAGCTGCCCCTGTAATAATGTCTGCCCTTCCAGATAATCCTTTTAGTGAGGGCCACACTTGGCCAGTGCTTTATTAGCATTCATCCATATTTTATCATATTTATTCGTATTTGCCCTTGTGCTCTGTAGGCGCAGAGAGGCTTAGGCTCCCCTTGAGAAATTACTTCAGAAGCAAAAGACAGAATCGGAGACACAGACACTTTCAGAATTTAAACATTAAAATTCATTTGTGCCCAAGACAAATGCAAACTGACTCTCTTGATTCACATTCACTATGCACACACACATTCTGGAATGTTGAAATGACTAAAAGTGCACTCAGTAATTTTTATTAGTTAATATATGTTTACAATCATGACATACACATAGGATGAAGACTCTATCAATGGCCTAAAAAAAGCATAAAAGATATATTTTAACAATATAAATAACACATATTTCCAACCCCAACGTTTTGAACAGTTGTGTAATCTATACATAAACAAAATATTATAGAGAGCTCAATACAAAGTACCAAAAAAAATTTATAATTCACAAAAACAGCTTATGATGAATTTAACAAACCCTTTATATATCTAGAATAAAAAAAAACCTTAACAAAAAACTTAAATTGGGTTAGAGCTCTGCTAACCCAAAGCAGAGCTCTGCCTATCAATGTCACTGTGCTAGGCTGAGTCAGCAAAACAAGAAGACTGAATTTCATTCTGGATGACATTCAGCGAGAGATATTCAAATACACTTTCCTTTAGCTTTGCTGTAGTATTTCAACAACAGGAGACATATTTGAATATCTCAGTTAAAGGTAAGAGGTGGAGCCAAGGGGTACAAGGCAAGATAGAAAGTGCCACTTAGAGGCGATTTCATGTTTTTTTAAAGTAGCGCAATCAAAAACAGGGAGGGTATGTGAATAGTGAATGGTGAGGTCATGTGAGGAAGGTCTTGTTAACAGACATAAAAACAGGGGAGTTCATGGTGAGGATCATCAAAATTACCTTCAGGTTCAATGAAATTTCACCCAGCTAAATCTCAGTCGTAATCATACTCTCAAGAAACACTTCAGAAAATTGCAGAGCTCATATCGGCACTTGGAAAGGCACTCTGTCTACCAAAAAATAAAAAAAGATTAGCCACTTTTGGGCCAATTACTCCACAATCAAGTCTTATTTCAGGCCCATTTTCAGACCAGGAACGAGTGTGAATTTTAATGTACCATGTGTGGCACTCTACAACATCCTGCTGATATCTCTGATGCCTCAGCACAAGGTCAACAGAAAATTATTTATCTATCGTTCAGTGGTATTTCCTCACACGAACCATACCATAAACTGTAAAAGGGCAGGGCTGTTTTTGCATGACCCTGAAGTGCTCTGTGACTGCAGTGTGTTTTTCTAACCTTGTAACCAAACACACTTTCACACAGTCCATCTCTAGTGGCTTATTTGGTTCAATAATAAAGAATGTGTGTATCCACTTATTCACTCTGACACAGTGCCTGAGGGTCTGTTAATACACACACCACTGCATTGTGTGTGTGTGTGTGTGTGTGTGTAGGTGTCAAGGGGGGAAAGGACCTTCACAGGAATCATTTCAAGCATGCTTAATCCCTGAAGTTGTTCTTTTCCAAAAACATTACTTGAGGATTAATAATTATTACTATTAGAAATCAGGACCGCAAGTTTCATGTAATGTAAAGTGCAATGGAGAATAAGAAATTATGGCCCATAAACGACCCTGACAATACATTACTTTTTTTGTGCCTGCAAAAAGCTGTTTGCTTAGCTGAAAGCAATAAAGCAAAATTATTATCAGCATTCTTATTCACAAATCTCACTATCGCCCCCAGGCTGAACTGCAGTCCTTTAGTATTTGAGGGAAATTGCCAGCAAAACAAAGCAAGCACAGGTGGGGCAGATAGGTTGTCCCAGCGGACTAGAACACATAAACAGCCCTACCCATAGGAAATGTTTATTGATCAGAGGTTGATTCTTCATAAATCAGAATTCTTACATAATGAAGATCTGAACACGGTTTCATTCAAGTATCAACTTTGCCTCAGACGTTTTCCCAAAAATCATTAGAAGAAATAAAAATAGTCACAAATTGGACAACTTTTAGTACAAAGCATTAAAATTCATGTGGATACATGGCTCAGATAATTTGATCATAAATCTTTGCATTGCATATTAAATCTCTGCAAATCAGAGACATTGCTGAGATCTCACATGTGATATTGCTGGGGCCATTTTTACAGAATAAAATCTGAGAAGCAGGAGTCATAAGGTGTTTTTGCCATTTAATCTCATTGCTGTCTATAGGATAAACAATGTAGACCTTAAAAAGATGCCATCTGTGATTTATTTCCTGTGGGTGTAATCAAAAACTGATCTTCAGATAAAATATAAGAATTTACGATACAATATTCAATAAAATTAGGAAACTGTACTGACATAAATAAATAAATAAGCAAGCTACGCTGCAGAGTATTTAAAAGTATAAAAACATCAAAGATGTTATTAAAATAATCCGTTAAGATAAAATATAATGTTGTATGATACAATATTTCATAAAATCAGGAAACTGTACTATAAATAAATAAATACGCAAGCTACGCTGCACAGTCTAAAAGTAGCTACCAAAAAAACGAAGATGGCATTCAAATCATGTTTTTTAATTAAAGACTTGCACCAACGTAGATCTCAGAGTGATATCAATAAGTGCAAATCTCATCTCAAGATCGTCTAAAAAAAGACAGACGTGTAACAGTAAGTTATCACAATTAATACAGCATATCTGTTGATTAATCACCAGTCAGACAATATCGCAGTGGCCATTTCATATTTGCATCAACGAACTTGACGTCTCGAATGACTCTGACATCAGCAAAGATCCACCTGGAAAAAGCAGCGAATGCCAAAATGATTTACCTCTGCTTGTCGGCGGCTGCAGCGCTTAGATTGTCGCCTGTCGGAGTCGTGCAGAACAATTTAGCCCAGCTGCAGCAGCTGGACTGCGGGCTCGATTTTCCTCCCGCGCCGCCGGTGCAGAAGTGAAGTCGCGCGAGGACCGCGGCCAGGGCTCCGGGAGCAAATAAAACAGCCGGTTTCGCTTGCACGCAGACACGGTGCCAAAATGATCCGCACCCCGGGGATCTAATTAAATGCCAAGCCACGGGGGCGTATGGTGAAACGTTTATATATTTCGCCTAGGTATGCAAAACGATGTAGGTTAGAGTAAAACACCCACACAGGATATCCGACTGTATCCCAAAAATCTATTGCATAAATAGCCTACTGCATGTGTGTATACGGTGCGGGAAATCTCTCTTCGGTTCTTGGGTTTTGGAACAAACCCACTTGAGCCCACAAAAAGCTTGTTTGTGAAATTCCGTGGAGGATTGCGGGCTATTTTAAACAGTGTTTCCGATCCGGCTATACTCGCTAATAAAGCAGTGTGCAACGTTTCTTAACTTAGGGTTTTAAACTGTTGTTTTATATTGTCCACAGACTCATGAGTAGCCTAATAAAATACAGAAGACCCAGTGTAATTTTATTTGAACTCTCGTAAGATCCCATTGCATAAAACAAGGCCACTATAAATAGGCTCGTCAATTTCGTTTTTTAATAAACCATACGAGAACATAGATCTTTTTTTTTATAAAATTCAATGCAATTTTTATTCTAAATTACAGTAGCCTAAGCTAAATTATAATTTTACCAGCCAGCCGTCTTCAGCTGTACAGGTGTGTAGGCCTATAGCCTACCATGAATTCAAAATTAATTAAATAAATTAGTCCGTCTTTTTGTAAAAAAAAAAGAAAAAAGATCTCAGTATGTTTAAGACCTCCATTCACGGTGATTTGGTTAAGCTGAATGTTAAATCTGATTTATTTTTATTTTATTTTTTTCTCCAGATTAAAGAATTTTACAGTTTATTTAGAATGAAAAGGCGTTCCCTTTCTTGTCGTTTCATGCATTGAGATGATTAATAAATTATTTGAAAATATCACCATTCCTTGTGGTCATGTCCTCAAAGCTATTGAAAATCAGAAGTGGGGGGGAAACAAAGACTATAGAATACCCGAAAAAAAGAGAAAGATTCGCATGTGTTGGATTTGGGTGTTGAATATGTATCGCAACCTGTTCGGGACGCCACAAGGTCAGTGGGACGAAAACTGATAGGCTATGCAGTGATCCTCAAATCTGGCTCGAGAGATCCACTTTCCTGTAGAGTTTAGCTCCAACCCTATAATCAAACAAACCTACCTGTGATTTTCTAATGATCCTGAAGACACTGATTAGCAAACTCAGGTGTGTTTGATTAGGGTAGAGCTAAGCTATGCAGGAAAGTGGATCTCGCGAGCCAGATTTGAGGATCACTGGGCTATTGGTTTCGCCCTGCAGAAATACACTTATATAAAGCATGTCAGTCATAGCCTACAGCACGTGTTACGTGCTAAAAAATTGACACACATGAAGTCTATATTATCACGAAAATTAGTTTCATATGATAGAGCGAATCTAGTTATTGTATATCTGATCTAAACTACAGCGAACCTAGTTATTTTGCACTTTTTTAACATGTTGACGTGTCGCGTGGAGTTCTAACTTCAAGTTTTACACTTGACTTGACTTGTTGGTTTAATACATTCATTTCCTTATAACGGCAACGATTATAAGTGGCAAAAAATGTGGATGAATATGAATTAATCAGGAACATACGATTAACTCTGAGAACGAAAAATATCTATATTCTACATTATAAGACGCTTTTAGAGCTTCTCAACAAAATATTTATATTGTTGGAACGGTTGGATTTCCTATTTAATTCAAATGACTCATGTCCAAATTGCAAACCTAAAAAACATGTATATTAGATATTAGCCTGACAGTAAACATGCAGGAAACAAAATTTAGATTTTATACACCAGGGACCCTCAAAATAGAAAAATCAGGATGTTCTCTGTAGCACTTTGCCATAATGTTAATTTTCCATTGTATAATACTTAACAGGCCATTAGCAAATATTCCTTCAAATAGTTTATGAAAATGTCATGGGTAAAAAAAACTCTTAAAGGGAACCCTGAGTGCCTTCAGAAGAATAAAGCTGAGTCTAGTCTATTTATCAAAGAAAATGGAGTTTCAGAGGGAAATATTCATTTGTGTAATCAAAAAGAAAATCTTTTAAAAAGTTATTTTATTTGAAATTATTTAAATACAAATAATATATATTTTCCATTTACAATGACAGTTTTCTTGTAAACAAAAGTGGCAGATACTGTTTACTAGGCAATTCACCCCTTTTTCTGGCCGGTGAGTTTCTCTGTGTTTATGTAGAGACATGATTTCTCATAATCTGTGCACTTCAGTCACAGCTTTCTGTACACAGCATGAATTATGCGGCTACAATCTTTTTGGAACTATAATACTAAAATGTCTATTTATCTGTAAAACTCTTATAATTTGATCAAATTGGATGTGAATGTGTATTACATGCAGCCAGATAATGACACTTTCCCTCTGAGTAAAGATTGCATTGTGTTTATGCTAATGAACACAAGGGGGGAAAAAATAAGTAAAAGATTTTCTAATGACATTTGCAGTTTTCCAAAATGTATCTATAAAATACATACATTAGCTATTGGGAACAAACCAGAAAATCCAATTTCCTGTCATAAATTCAAGATTTGAAAAAAAAGAAAATTAACCATAAATGCAGAGATTACATTTCATATGCACTTCTACATTTCAAATAATTTCATATCAGTCAGCTTAACCACGAACAGACCAGACTAATATTTTCACAACCACTAAATCAGCACTTCCAATACGCTGTCAGATCTTCCACTGGTGCAAAATAACATTTAAATGGGACGAAAATAATCAGATCCACAAAAAAGCAAAATCTACCCTTAATTTTGAGCCTTGTTGCCATCCCTCCATGCAGAAAACCAACGTAAGAAAAACCTGCAGAAATAAAAACTGACCCTCAGTTATTCCCATCACTCAAACGGATGTTTTTGTATCAAACCATTTGCAATATTTGTGGCCACAAGGAAATCTGTACATCGAATAAGGCGTTTATATTTTATGAGAGTGGAATGTAAGACAAAATTATATATAAATACAACAAAAATAAAATCAGGCTAAACTATGATCTACAATTGAGGCATTCAGTTCCAAAAGAAACCAGATAAAACATTATCCTAAAAAAAACCAACTGTGTTTTGCTGCACTATGGCCAACAGATTAGTGTAACTGATGAGAAAAGGCTTGCACTTGTGCATGTTCAGGCTATAAACATGGTCTCCTTGTAACAACTGTACTCAGCAACAATGGGGAAATTTCCAGTTTACGGTTTAAAAAGTCAGTGGGATGAATAAATCAGGGAGGAAAAAAAAAAAAAAAACTTGAATTGTCCTAGGGTTTCAATAAACATAGGCCATGTTATTACATAGCGCCAAGAAATCAGTCTGATATTGACCTGCTTATTTGTTGAACAGCAGCGACATTAGGAGTTAAATCAGGACTAAACCATAGACCTGGCTGTGGAATGTCTGCAGTCTTTTTTTTTGTGAGGCTGAGACAACCTGCACTTGTGACGAGAAACCGGAAGAAGTTAAGATAGGTGAGATTTATAAATGTATTGGCCTTCCACACTTCATGGCCATGGAAACAAATTGAGACGCAACCCACAGCGGTGCAGTACACCCTTCACCCCGTCATTCCTGCTCAAGCTTAAAACGCACATCCACGTCCTTGTGGTTCATGCTCACTCCAGATTACACATCACACAGCTTTGTAAAAAGTGAAAACACCTGGTAAATTTGATATCTAATAAACTACATAAAACTGCAAAATGATAAGGTAGAAAACACCCTTGAAGCATAAACAGTGACACTGAAAAATGACAGTCATGAGGTGTGTGATTTTTCAGTGGTACACTGGTTTTTATTTTTCCCACGCATTGGTTGGTCAGATATCTTTTTCGTCAAGTGGAGAGGAATCTGAAACACAGCTGGACCCCACAAATAACCACTGTGACAGCCCACCGATAACGACTGGATGAACGCAGGGAAAGATAACCAACAGTTCCTTAAGTCTTATTTTGATTGGCGAACTAAAAGGACAGATTTGTGACTCATGAGTGTTTTGAACAGGAACATGGGGCGTCAACGTCCTTGCCTCCTGTTTGCCTCGGGTATGTGGCGGCCCAGAAGACGGCAATGGTCTGGGGCTTTGTGGCTGTGTAGGAGCGTGTGTGTGTGTGTGTGTGTGTGTGTGTGTGTGTGCATGAGTGGGCACATGGGTGTATGAGCTGTGCTCAAGTCTGCATGAAATGACTGCTTTAGTCGTTGTCTTCTTCGTCTTCCTCGGATTCCTCAATGCCATCACTGTCCTCCTGGTCATCCTCCTCTTCCTCGGTTTCTGGGATATCCCACTGAGGGTGGTTATCCATCATGGCCTTCGCCTCATGAACCTCCAGCTGAAACCAAAAATTAGGATCACAAAGATTATAGTAAATAAATACATTTATATTAAAATAATATATATGTATATGATGTATACAATATACATATTTTTCTTGATCACCAAATCAGCATATTAGAATGATTTCTCATGTGAAACTGAAGAGTAATGGCTGATGAAAAATCAGTTTCCATCGCAGGAATCAATTAGATTTTAAAATACATTCAATAGAAAAGTTATTTTAAATTGTAATAATATTTCACAATATTACAATTTACTGTATTTGTTATCAAATACATGCAGCCTTGGTGTGCTTAAGAGACTTCTTTTAAAAAATAATTAAAAACAAAATCTAATCAACTCCAAAGCTTTGAACATGCATCATCTTAAAATATTTTATAAATATTTAATAAAATGTATAAATACTTAATAAAACCCAATATTTTATAAAAACAAACTTTATAAATATTCCATAAATATTTAATAAAAAATATGACAGAAATAAGAACACATTTCCAAAAAAGACAGTACAGAAAAAAAAACTGACCTTGAGTGGCTTGTTCTGATCTAATCCCATGAATGAATCTGATCTGAGAATCACAGAATATTGATAGTTTCCGGTTTTGGATGGAGCGGGGAATTTCAGTTCAACCTGAGGCAAACAGGAAGTTTAGATAATCATTGCTCACTTTACACAACTCAGCAAAACCTAATACGGAGGAGTAATTGGGAGATATGGGGTGATTTATGACCCTTTTGTTTACATCCTTGCATTCTCATGCTCCTCACAGAGAGGAAGCACTCACTGTGTCAGACAGAATTATGACAGGCGTCTGGCTGCTCTGTAACCAGACAGAGACTGCAGTATGGAGGTTGCCTGGCAACAGGCTATGGGGAAAACTGCTGCGCAGGAGACTGTGTAGCTAGTACTATTCAGCCAGTCTCACACACACACACACACACACGCACACACACACACACAGTAAAACACTCACTCATTCTATTATCTTTTCATTTACTACATTTTAATGACAGCACACCATATTGCAATTAATTCTAGTCATTTGTTTTTGTCATTATGTATTCGAGTTCTAAATGCCTTGGTATTTCTATTGTAAAAAAAAAAAAATTTAATTGACTGAAAATCTCTCCAAAAATAGAAATGTACACTCCCAATCCTGCAATGGCACAAACTATAGTCATGATTATGAACTAATAAGAACAATAAAGAGATTTTTGGGCTTCCACCCTATTTCACTATTGACTTTCAATAACCAGTCATTTGTAATTATCATTCTGATTCAGACTGATTGAACCGGTTTGATTTTAATTTGATTTCATTCAATTCAATTCAATTCATTAATTGATTCACAAACTGTTAACTACTAGAACTATTAAACATTTGGTTGTTTGGCTATTTGAAATAAATCTGAAATGAAATAAAATACATATTACATGAAAAACTTAGAAAGGTTGCATTTGAAACTACGTGAAATAAGTTTAAATTGAAGCAAAAATTAGTAACTAGATAAGCAGAAAGCTCAAATTAAAAGTGAAATAAAAGTAAATTAAACCTAAATAGTATTAAAAAACAAACTCAAAATATAAAAATAAAAGCAGATTCAAAACATTAATAAAAAATGATTATTTACCATGAACGGTCATTTATGATTACTGGAAAATATTTCTTTATTCTGATTCAGACTGATTCACTAATTCATATTTTGTGAACCAATTTGATAAATTCAAATCACTTCACTCACAAATGGGGTTACTAAAACTAAAACTATTAAAAACATTTGGAATATTTGAATGAAATATGAATATTACATAAAAACTTCAATTAAATAAAAATGAGAAAGGTTGCCTTGGCAGGTAAGTGAAATAAGTTTAAGTTGAAGCAGTAAAATTACTAACTGAAATTCAAGAAAAAATATAAAGCTAAAACTAAAAATTAAATAAATGAAACCTAAACAGTAATATTAAAACACACACATTTAAAATATAAACATTAATTTAAAACTTTAATAAAAACTATATTAGCAAATAAAAAATACTCACATTATACTGCTTACAAATCAAATATCACTTTGATTTGCAAGCACAATTTACTTTGCACAACCTTTACACAAAAGGTTGTCTGTCCAATAAAAATATTAAGCAAATTTTGCACAAATTTCCATGACTTTAAGATTATAAGACACTTTCAGGCCCAGAAATCTTGTAAAAACTCAAATTTCACACCACTGAGCAACACAGTTTCACCCTTTCTATTCCCTCTTTTAACTTTCCCGAATAAAGAAAGGTGTGGTAAAGCACAAACAGGTGGTTGTAGCCTCACCTCCTCTGTGTCTTTGAGTGTGCACACGTGGCTGGGCATAGACACCAGCGTCTGTTCCTTCCTATCTGCGATGTAGAGCCACCACCACTCCTGCTTCTCCTCAGGGAAGTACAAGCTGTAGACAGGATGTGTGACCTTAGACTTGGTCTCCAATAGTGCCCTTTCACGACGCTGAATGCTCTGTTGTAGTGCCTCCCATTCCTACAGAAGAGACATGCTGGTTATGGAAAGCTGCACTGCAATGGCTACAATCAGCAGTCAGTCGTCCAAGGGATAGGACACACACCTCCTCGTCATCTCCAGCAATCTCGTCCACCTCAGTGTCACTCTGCTTGTCACTCTCCTCATCTCTCTCGCTGGGCGAGTCCTTATTTCCCTCTGCCTCGTCTGATTCACTGCCTTTATCAGAGAGATCGTCCTCTTCTGCTTTTGATGCAGCAGCAACGTCCTGTGAATGAAAATAAAAGCACAGAGTTGGACGAAAGATTTTTTGATTTTGTCAATTATAGTGCAGAAAATGTGCATCATAGTAAAATTGACAAAAATGAATGAATATGACAAATATACACAATTTTGAGGAAAGATTTTTTTTAATCAATTAATGCACTTATGCATTAATTTGATCAAAAATAGAGTAAAACCGTAATACTGTGAAATATCTTTTCAACTTAAAATAGCGGTTTTCTATTTTTTTTTTCTATTTTAAAATATAATTTTTCCATTGTTGGCAAAGCCAAATATTCAGCAGCCATTACTCCAGCCTTCAGTGTCACATGATTTTTCAGAAATCATTCTAATATGCTGGTTTAATGCTCAAGAAACTTTATTATTATTATTCAAAGTTGAAATTGTGCTGAGTTGAGTTGTGCTGCTCCAGATTTTTTTGTAGAAACTGTGATAGTTTTTTTCCAGGATTTATTTGAATTGGAAATCTTTTATAACATTTTAAGGCCTAGTTTCACAGACAGGGCTTAGACTAAGCCAGGATTAGGCCATAGTTCAATTAGGAGATTTAAGTAATTTTTTATAAACATGCCTTAGAAAAAAACATTACTGGTGTGCATCTTGAGACAAAACAAAGGCACTGATATGTTCAGATCAGTCAGTGCAAGTTTCTTACAGTTGAAACAGCTCAGACTTACATTTTAGTCTTGGACTAGGCTTAAGCCTTGTCTGTGAAACCGGGGGTAAATGTCTTTACTATCACTTTTGATCAATTTAATGCAACCTTGCTGAATAAAAGTATTCATTTCTTTAAAAAAATAAATAAAAAATCTTTGTATCTTTAAAAGTGTAAGACTGAACATATACAGTTCAATAATCCTTACATTTCCTGCCACATTGCCATTGGCTTGTTTGGCCTTGTCTCCCTTTGCTTGCTGTTGGGTGACTGGTTTCTTCTTAGTCAGTTTCTTCTTTTTGGACTTGGCAGCTTTTTTAGCTCCTTTATTCTTATTTTGCCAAACTTTTGTTTTGTTTGTTTTGGTATCTCTTTGCTGCAAAGTACAAAATAATATTCATAAACTTTTAGACATCGTAATGAGCAAATAACAAGATGTAAATACACATTCTGAATTCACTATTAAATTACGTCTGATGAACATGATGTAGCTTGAAAGCATTACTACCTCCTCTGCATTAGTTTCCTCAGCAGGTAGTGGTGCATCCTCCTCTTTCTCAAACATCTCCTAAACACAAACAGAAATTTAGTACAATGTTGTTGTGCATAAAAACAAGTCAAATAATACAGACTGTTTTTGTAATAGTGTTGTTGCTGTAATGAAAATCTCAACCTAAAAAACAAAGAAGCTCAGCATTGACCTCTTGTGGATGCATGCTGCAACTGCAAGATGTGCCATTCCATGACTATAATTACTTTGCATAATATATACATAACTTATAAATCAACTGCTGTATTTGAATAGCATTATACCCTCACCCCTCAACTAAACACCTGGATAGGCTCATGAGATATTCTCGCAAATGTACTACTTACAGACATTCTCTTCCTTGTCAAGGTGACCGTAACTGTGACAATGGATCCTGCCGTGATGTTATTGCTATCTTCATCATCCAACACTATGGAGCAATGAAACATACACAGAGTTTAAATCACATGTAATGTGTTTTATTGAATGTATGAGTGTTCAAGCGCTGCTGAACAATCTCACCTTGAAGTTTGGTTTCCATGTTGATATAGGGAAAGCTCCAGAGGACTGCCAGGACCTCCTCATACTTCTCCTCCCCAAGGAATCTTAGCATATTTCTCCTGTCAGAGTCCTTCAGACTGACCAGATCCTGCAACGTCCGTACCTTATACTGAAGAGAGAGATGCGCCATATTTAGAAGATTTGAAAACAGTTTTTGCATAACAACTGGGGTATCAAACACAATTGTTTTAACGGATCCTTCTGTGTGCTGCAACGCCTTTGAGAAAGATGTACCTTCTTAGACATACAGTATCGGAGGTGCTCCTCTTCAAAATAGGGCAGCTGCAGCAGAGGAGATTTGGCCTCCTGCAGTCCTTGAACCACCATCTGAGACAACTTCATGCAGTTCTCTATAGATGTCAGCCTGGGAGCCCGAAGCCCTACAAAATCATACATCAGCAAAAAACTTTTTAAATCATGTATCACATTATACACTACCTTTCAAAAGAAGTTTAATGTTTTTGAAGGAAGACGCTTATGCTCACCAAGAATGCATGATGAAAAACACAATAAGACTCTATTTTAATACATTACAAAATGTAATTTTCCCCTGTGATGACAAGGCTGAATTTTCAGCAGTCATTACTCCAGTCTTCAGTGTCACATGATCCTTTAGAAATCATTCGAATATGTTGATTTGGTGCTTAGGACATATTTCTTATTATCCAGGGCTCCAGCCTGCGACTATTTTTTCTGCCGGTGCAACTAATTTTTGTGAGCGGTCGCACTGGTGTGACCACCGCGATGTCCAACTCATAAGCGCTGACATTTCTGTTGCATTTGAGAAACATCAAACGGCAAACGAAACGAAACTAAACCGTGCTACGTTTCAGCTGCGCAGCGCGGACCGTTTATCAGCTCGCACCGCGACGCAAACAAACTAGTCCGAGCTCAGAACAGCTTTACTCGGGAGCCAAAGTTGATTTTGCGACACTGTTACTGCACAGATGCACAGTGCTGCGAGATCCAGTGAGAAGCGTTTGAATTTGCCGCACAATGATAAAGTTGCTGCAAGATCTAGTGAGAATCATTCAAATTCTGCACAGAATTCTCTGTTATAAACAGCTCTGACATACGTCAGGAACGCTAACTGTAACCATGGAAATAGGCGAATGCATTACATCATTCATGTCAGGGTTTGTACAACCTTTTGAGAGAAATTCAAGCACTTTTCAATGACTTTCAAGCATTTCACACAACTATTTCCAGCACTTTAAAGCTCTAAAATGATCCAGTTTGAATGTTATTTTTAATGGGATGACCAAAATATACTTTGTGGTAAACAAACACTTATGTAAAATTTAAAAAATACATAAAATCACAATGTAGTAGAGAGTAGTAACCAGTAGAGAGCAGCAGAGGAGCACTTATTGGCTTATTAGTCATTCATTTCTACTTTTTCTCTATATTTTGAAATTATAAAATCACTATTATAAAATATAAAATCATCAAGAAATCAGATTTTGTCAGAATTTTACACAATTTTGATGAGCAGCGCAAAACCACGTTCATATTCGCGCGATTTTTTGCGCTATAGTTATCTTTATAGTTATCGTTCTTGGTGTGATCGGGGCTTTACTGTTGTTAATAAAAGTACATTTTGTATGCATCTTAACTCATGCTTAGTGCTTTACTGTCAAATCTGTATAAACAATAAACAAAAGAAAAATAAACAAGAAATGAACATGAAATATTATTAGTAACTGCACTTGCAAAACAATAGTAATTTTATGATTAAATGATCTATATTTTAATACTCCCACACACCACCCCCAGCGCTACCAAATCTGCTCCTGACGCCACCATCTGTAGAACTTAGTGGCGCTGGTGCCACTGCTCTCAAATGTTAGTCTGGAGCCCTGTTATCAAAGTTGAAAATGGTTGTGATGCTTAATATTCTGGGGAATTATACATTTTTCTCAGAATTATTTGAAAAATAGTAAGTTCAAAAGAATAGCATTTATTAGATTTTTTTTTGTAACAATGTAGTCTTTAGTGTCAGTTTTGGTCACTTTAATGTATCCTTGCTGAATAAAAGATGAATTTTATTCCCCCCCGCCTCCCCTCCCCCAAAATCATACTGATCAAACTTTTGAATGATAGTGTATATTAAATGAAAGGGGTCATATGATGCTGCTAAAAAGAACATTATTTTGTGTATTTGGTGTAATAAAATGTGTTTATGCGGTTTAAAGTTAAAGAAACACATTATTTTCCACATACTGTACATTATTGTTTCTCCTCTATGCCCCGCCTTTTTGAAACGCGTCGATTTTTACAAAACAAATCGGTCTGAAAAAGCGAGGTGTGCTGTGACTGGCCAGCTATCCAGTGCGTTGTGATTGGCCGAATACCTCAAGCATGAGACGGAAATGTTACGCCCCTCACCATACTGTGGATGCCGTGTCCGGCCGGAGCGACGAGACAAAAACATGAAAACCCATTATAAACGAGGCATTCGTTGCATCAGTGGGGACATAATTATGGATTATAATGACTTATACTGTATTTTTACGCGTTGCGTTGCTGCGTGAACATTTGGGTGACGTTATGCAAATCTTTCCACATAGTGATGTAGATATGTGGGGGTGTGTTAGAACGAGCCGTTTTAGGTAGGTGTGGCTGACTCTTAACTTTTATAAAGAATATCTCTTTGGATTTGAGACTTTAGTCTTTGCAACTTTACAGATCATCTTTATGCACCAAGAGCTTGTAACACTCCAAAGAGAAAGGAAAAATTGAAATCGCATCATATGACCCCTTTAAATGAAAACATATTATTTGCATTAATTATATAATTATATTAATTACCTCCTCTACTGGTTGCCATCATAGTAAGTTGACAGCCAACATTGATAATTTCCTGTAGTAAAGCAGGGCACTTCTTCACCACAAACCTTTGATCTGCAGAAGATATAAAACAGCCAATTAATTCACATTAATAACATGAATATTGTGTTTGGGTAGCTGAACTGGCAGAGCATGGCATTAGCAACACCAAGGTCATGGATTTAACTCCCAGGGATCACACATACTTGCAATGTATTTCTTGAATGCCTTTGTAAATGCATAAATTAAATGAATTGCATTAGACAGGTAGTTGGTGTTTAATTATCCTACAGGATTAAATATTGACACTTGAGAGGTGTCTGTGAATGCATACCCTCCTCTATGTTCTCAGAAACATCCATCCTGGCAAGGTGCGTAAGTAATAAGACTCGCGCCTTCAGGCTATAGGGATAGCAGAACGGAGGCTCCTTCTTCTTCACATTAATGTTCCCCAGCTCCCGGATCAACTGCACAAAGGAACACAACATGAGCATTAAATTTGAATAATTATCCACTAGCCACTTCATTAAGCACTCTAAATCTTTGGCACAAAATACATATGTTTGAACATTTTACCTGGGGAACTTCTATGTTGTCTGTTGGTCTGATAATGGCCTCTTTGTTACTACGAGGATCAAATTCAAACGCTGCCGTCAACACCATCACCAATCCTGTCAAACAGAGAAGAGACTTAGTCTGTAGAATCTAAAGGATCTATAGGGTCATAACATTTTTCTTCAACTTACGTTTCATGTTCATTGTAGGCGTTTTGTACATAAAGTGCATGAAAAGCTGTGTGGTGTTGATAAGGATCTGATCACCACTGTAGCGGATGGAGCGGTACCACCATGTGCCCTAAACAAAAACACATATTACTATTGGGTTTATCAGAATATCAATTAACTGAAAAGGTTTCTATACTATGGTTTCCAAAATACTTATAATATATATATGTATGTGTGTGTGTGCCTGTATGTGTGTGTATATATATATATATATTAGGGATGGAACGATTACCGGTTTCACGATAAATCACGATAAAATGCCCAATTATCTGGGTCAGCATAAGAGACTACATTCAAAAACAGAGAAAAAAAATCTTACTGTTTTTAATTATATCTAATGTCAAAGTTATTGATTAGAAGACAAGCTTACCACAACCACAGGAAGAATAACCATAAAAGCCAACCCATAGACCAGCAGCACCTGTGAAGGGCACAAGCCAACAGGTTTTGCAAGTTATTGCATTCTTGGGGCACTTATATAATTATTAGTTGACACTTAAATGGGGTCAAAACTTAACTGACAGCTGTTAAAAATGAGTAGGTGAACATACCAGCATGGAATTCTTCTGGTCAACAATCCATGCAGGAAGAGCGATTCCAAAACTCGTCACTGATCAAGAGTAAAATGGAACACAGAGAAATAAGGAAGAATTTTCAGCATAAGTGATACTAACAGAACAATTCTTTAGAAATAAGTTAACAAGTTAAAGAAACGGTCACCTCTTGGGCCATCAGGGTTGCCATATATCTCCCAGTTATTCCGTGATTCCTCATTAGTTAAACTGTGAGAAGGCATGAGTGTGGACAACAATTTTTAAAACCCGGATGATTATATATGTGGTGCAATATTGACAAGTAACAGAAAGGTGCTGCATGGGTATTTTAAGAAGATTAAGTGTTTAATTCTGGCACAGTGGATGACATTTTTATAAAAAGCTTTTACGAACTGTATTGTGCTGCACCTATGATTACACACTGCAATACCAACACCAACCCACACACATAAAAATGAGTTGGCAACTGCTATAAATAACATGACATTAAATGTGAAAGGCAACAATAAATAAGTCGGGTGGTGGCAACAGTCTTACGCTGAGTAAGCTTTAGCAAGCTTCATGAACATGGCCTCATCTCCGCCTTTATCAGGATGGTGTTTCAGAGACAGTACTCTGTACTGCTTCTTAATCTCAGCAATAGATGCTCCCTAAACAAAAACATAAAGGATATATTAATCTTGAGAAGAAGCAGATTAAAGATTAAAAAGAGAAAGAACAAGATTCTCAGAAGAAGAAGAAAGGCGTCCTTACTGCTTCCAGGTGGAGGACCTCATAGGGGTTATACTCCTGGTACTCTCGATCTAATTTAGACACCTTATAGGCCAGGAAAAGAAATACTGCCCACCCAAACAATAGGGCTGCTTTTCTAAGATGACAGAGAAGTACATTTTTAGTCTGTAACCAAAATTTACATTAGAATAGACAGCAGCTGCTATATGTCATGGTGACTAAACAGCAAAAAGAGCAGATTTAAGCCATGAAAGACAGGGTATTTCTGAATACTCCACACATCTGATGCAAGCTTTGTTCTTTAAATAGTTGGAGCAGAGATTTGATGAGTGTCTGAAGTCAGTGTCATCCGGAAGAATTAATAATTTCATCAATTTCGACGACAGTAATATGAAAAAAAAAAATAATACAAATTTAAAATTAAATTAGACCAACACAATCAAATGGATCTTGACTTGTCTGACTCTGAAAATTCATAAATCAAATTAAAAAAGCATGATATCTGTTGCAAGACAACCAAAAAGCATTGCTGTCCCCTTGGTGATTCAAACGAAATTAAATATTATTTTCAGAACACCAAGCACTTAATACAATAATTAATACAAAATATGTTTATTTTTATCCTTTAATATAATCACCATGCAAAGCAAGCAAATGAAATAATACTTTAGCAATTTACATCATTTTAAACCGATGCTGTTGTCCAATTAATTTTGTTCCCCAGTGCTCACTGTATACAGTACACACAACTCCAGAAACCTTTTGAAATTACAACGATTTATTCATGTTAAAAACTAAATGCCCACAAACCGCAAACAGACAGGACACAAGTGCAGTGTGTCAAAATAACAGTAGGTGCAATGAGCTAAATGAGATTAATTCCCCTAAACCGCCTTTTACTAATTACACACAAACATAATCACTTACTTTAGTGTTGGAACAATGCTCTGCTGTGATTTCATAAGCCGAAGGCGATACCACAGACATCTTCCATGAACTCGTCGTAAACTCTTCAACCTTAATTGCTCTGTGAATTAATTCACATAACAGACAACAATAAGAAAAACATCCACAATCACAACCACCATGCAAACATACAAATTCTGCCAACAGTACTGTAACATTGTATAGAAATTGTTTTTGATAGTAAATTATACAAAGTAATAATATTAACATGTCTAAAAAGCATGGTAGTACTGTTACTTTTTAGTTAGTGAGGTACTGCAAACCTTTTTATTTTTATCTGAATGTGACCCTCTTACATTGTGAGCTAGATTACGAAAGCTGCCTCAAAGTATGCCAAAATGTTATTGTTATAAAACAGAATAAACAGAAGACATGGATTTGTGTGCAATAAAACCAGCTTTATTAATATTTGAAGGGTTTTATATACACACACACACATACAAAAAAACAAAACAAAAAAAACTTTAACTTTTGTGTTTTCAGTCTGGTAGGAAAATATTGAGCCATAAAGGCATATAAAAACCAAGAACCTATTAACCTTTCTTGTGAATGTGTTATTGCGCACACTGAAAAAGCGCACACTGAAAAATCTGCACTGTCTAATACAGACATTTGCACTTTATATACAAATATTAATTTATTTACATATTGTATTTCTCCTTAAGTGTTTAATTTTAATGCAACATTTGTATTGTGTCAATATTAAATTAGTAAATTTGTCATTTTGTTATATTGTAGCCTGCAGAATCTAGAATCTAGAAATTGTCTGCAAATATGGGTTCATTTATTGTGAATTCGATCAACTTCGATTGACTTAAAATTGAATAGCATGTCGATCTAGTGCATGTAAACAGCATGTAAAAGTGCAGTTCACAAGGTGAACATACCACCATGAGCAGCTAAATAAACAGATACCTTTGCAACATTTCATAACACGTGCTGAAAAATTAGTGGGAGTGGCATGCCATGACAGAAAAGACACAATTAATGATCTATGACGACCATTATATAATCAGATCAGCTGGTCTTAAAGCAATATATTTGTCAATGTAAACAAACGAGAACATACGAAAAAAGCTTATATTAAACGGATGACCAGTACATTTAACGTAGGTAACATGCGTTTGATGCTAGCAATGTTCAAATATAGCCTACATTTATTCTTTATATGTATTGGCATTATGATCCATAATTGACATTTAACAAATATTGGAAATATCCCTAAGTGTAACTGTTGGTTAAACTGAGTGGGGGTCAGCTGCTAATGCTACGTATCCACAATCAGGCGAGCCCTTCATGCCATTACTAGATGTATACTAGTATTCGTTTTATTAAATAGCGTTACTGCAATGTAAAAAATATTCCTCACAAGAGGTGGCAATCTGGTTATCAGTGCTGATCATCAAGCGACATGTAGCTGCTTAGCTGGTAAGTGTATTAGCATATGGGGCCTTACCCGCATTCTGATCCCGGGGCCAGAGGTAATAGGTGGCTGGGATGACTATTAGTCCCACAAAAGACGTGAGGAAATAGAAAAAGGTGTTGCCACTGTCGTCGTACTGAAACTGTTGTCCAGCCATTTCGCAGCGGTTCTAAACCCCGATTTTTTCTGCCGCCTTGCCGCCCTATCAGTCGCTCAACTGTAGTAGGACTAGTCACATATGCTGGAGAAGGAAGCCAACATCCACACTTTCTGCCACGGTAGCGATTGTTTTCAAAATAAAAGCTTTTTGTGTTATTTTATTAAGAATGGCTGCCAGTCCTGACCGTTTAAAAATCGGTGGGTATTTTGAAAACGCATGTTATTTTATTGTACTGCAAGTTGCCAGTAGTATAAAGAATGAGTGGATTTCCACGTTCAACATGACTTGGGCTTTTAGTATGGCGTTATTAACGCCTCACCGCTTGCTGTCGAAGTTTTGAAATACGAAAAATCTGTGCGCCTAGCAGTGTACGTGTTCTACGCATGCGCTCTACGGGAGTACGTGTTTTCACACAACTCGTACTTATCTTTTAGACGCAGTTTTTCTTTCTTTCTTTTCCAAATAAAGAGGGGTTTTCAGCCTGTACAGATTTAAGGACCCCTCACACAGACTCTTAGCCAATTTAAGGACTCCAATATAGCTGTAACCAGATTTTTTAGATAGCATTTTGTGTTATTTATAACTTTAATGAACATAAATTCCATGCTGCATAATGGATTAATAATGCATAGAAAACATAGTAGAAAATCCTGTTTTACAGGTTAACAGACCCCTAATTGAAAACCCTGGTTTTAAATCATTAGCAGATGAAAACTTTAGATCCTTATGGAGGATATTGTTTTATTATACAAACACTTGTCCTTCTTGATTTTGTAATTCAACATATGCATTGCATTATGGCGACTCCAACATATAACAACATAATTGTACATAAAATATACATACTACAGTGATTAACAAAACAGTCACCTTATAAATTAAAGTAGAACATTTTGTCAACATGTTGTATTCATTATCATATGCAACATTACTTTTCAACACTAATTGTACATACATTTTCTTTTTTTAGTGGTTCGCCCAAGTGAGGCTGCAATGTCTTGTCTTTTAGATATTCCACCAAGACTTCCAGAGTGTCCGTAGCGTAGTTCATGGAAAGGTTTTTGGGTTACATCGTCCCCAGTGCAGTCCACTAGAACATTATACGTTTCTAGGAACATGTTGTATAAAATACAGCAGGTCTTCACAGCTAAACTGGTTTGGCAAACGGAATGCTTCTGCAGACATCTGAGCCTCTGAAAACAAGATCTCAGAGTATGGATGGAGCCTTGTGCCACTGCAAGAGATGACTGCACCTTCTGGTTATAACATACTTTTTTCTGTCCTAGTGTTGCATAATCAGGGAATGGAGTCAGAAAGTGCTCTGAAAGTGGGAAGGTGGAATTGCCAATAATGTGTTTGCCATGTAGCAGAGCCACAGGGTTTTCCCGCAATGCCTTGCCAACCTCCGTGGCTGACAGGACTCTTGAGTTATGCCAATTTCTAGGGTGTTCTGCAGACACATAGGTAAAGCGACCCATGTGGTTGCAAAAAGCCATGAGTTTTACAGAGTACGACCCCTCTACGTCTCTATTTACCTCTGGATCTGACACATCTGTAGGTTTCTCAATAGGAATGAAACACGTTCCTACTGCACAAAGAGTATCTGGTAACCCCACAGTAGAAAGGAACCCCACCACAGACATTTCTGCTTCCTCCCCGTGCGGCCAGTGAATTTCATTTGCCAAGTTACTGGTAACAAGGGTACAGAACTCATCCAGCTGATCACAAATGAGTGACTCTGTGATGTGGAAACGGTTTGCCACACTGTGGTAAGACTCTTGGGTAGAAAGAGCCCACAGGCTAGCAAGTACTGCATGCCACACTGTCCATCCCTCTTGCCTAATGGCAGTCCATTTACAAGGTGCCAGCAGCCGTACCAACTCCTACAAACACAAAAATAACAATTCTGTTTTACAAAACACAAACGAGATTAGCAGAAACAAAAAAATAGGACCAGCATGAACTAAAATAGCCTACCTCAGTTTGAGATGGCGTCAGCTGGAAGTGACTCTTAAAATCACTTATTGTCAAGCTTTGCAGCACGGTATTGAAAACATCTCTTTTGTCATCCTCTCTGACATGTGAAACAAAATCATGTTAAAGCATATGTGCATTATAAACAGCATCTTTCTTATATCAAATACTGTGTGGATCCTCTTACCTTTGCAAATCATCACTTGGTTCAGTTTTCAGAATCATTCTATTGAAATATAAATTAATATCAAAATAATTAGTTGCATTATTGGCTTTTCACAGCGGAAAATAAAAACTAGCTAGCTAGTTTCTAGCTAGCTGTGATCTAACTTATAATCGAGCTGTCTTTGGCACATTGTAGGTAGTCAGCCAGCAACCACGTTTCAAAATATCACCAGTTTAAGATGGATTTTCAACAGGCTGGACAACTGAAGGAATATTTCCAATAGTCAAACAGTTGCAAGCTGTAGTAAATAAAAGGCGCATTAAAAAGAGGCGCCGTGTTGTTTGTTTGCCAAATAAAGCAACATTAGAGACATAGAATACAGTTTCCTTCACCTTACTTTCCGACGTTTGCGAGTTGCATTTTTCTTGAAAAATAAGAAATCTTCAACATCATAGCTGTCTGCTAACAAAAACGCAATACATGTTTCCAGCGCCATGCTTTTCGGATTCAGACTGTTGCAATGTCGCCCTCTTATGGCAAATCCATCTTATAATATACGGATTTCCCCACTAAATGTGGTTGATTTTCTTCAGTGGATATTGCTTGGGAACTTGTTTTAAAACCAGGCAAATTTGGGCAGAAAATATCTTAAATCAGCCTACGATAGTTAGGTGGTCTTATCTGGTTTAAGTTGGTCTTTGGCCAAGCAGATTCTGCTAGTTTAGCTGGTCAAAATCCTGGTCTCCCAGAGTGACCAGCTAAAACCACTAAAACCAGCCTACAAACCAACATAGTCTGGTTTATGATGGGCTTTTCTTTTTTCTTTCTTTTTTTAGCAATGATGGCATGAACACATCTTGTTATTATTCACTCAAAGTGTGGCTTAAAATCATATTCCATCGATAGATGGCACCAGAGTAATACAATGAACCTAGCGTATGATTTATCTCCATGTAGATACTATCAATTGATCAACTGTTAATAAATTCCATATAATTTACAAAAGAGAGAAAACATCAAGTGTGTTTGCTGATATGAGAGAGAATAATATGAGAGAAAGTGATCATGCTCAAACCCTCCTCAATAACCTTTGCCGTTTCCTCTTCAATCCCATTGACCTGAATGATGGCAAGCACAAAATAACAAAGAACTACAGTGATGAGACTGCTTACTTCAGACTTGAGAGATGCTCTTACCATCCTGCGTTAATCAGACAGAGTTAAATATGCAGGGTGTAATTGTGCAGGTCACAACCCCTCATCTTAATTTACACATTATTATGCACTATAAGGCCATAAATCTGTATAAAAATCAACTATAACAAGTTGCATGGAAATTAAGACTGTGACATTTACTTTTGTTTCATGCCCAGATATATTAAGTAAATGTTCTTTTTACAATGAGTGACATGGTTATTTTAAAACTATTTTAAAACTTACTTTTACAGTTAGCATCTTATCAGTGGATATTCAGTTATAGATATTGTAAAATAAAGGTAAATTCCATAAATATTAAATATTTATTTTCATGATCCTAGTCTAATCATTTGAAACCTAAAAGTAGAATATTTGCATGTTAACAATTTATTACGCGGCTCTCCGGAATACTTGATTCTGATTGGTCGTTCACGGAGTCAAGCGATCAAATATTTTCTTTCATGGCGACGCTGGATAGACCGTTCGTCCAGGTAAATGAAACTTATTAATATTACTGTAATATTGTTGCTCGTGCTTGGTGGACTATTTTCTTTGCTACCTGACGGTTTAAGATAATATACAATTGTACAATTGTTCAGTATGAATTCGAAATAGAGAGTAAACAAACATTACCATTAGTAAACGTTTGAGAGTAAAAAAAATATTAGCATCTTGAGTTGAGTGTGTAACATCATGGACATTAATATATAGGCCTTTAGTGAAACAAATGATTTATTTTATCCAGTGCTTTCTGTTTTCGTGTATTGAGCTATTCAGATGCCAAACTAATTTTAGAAATAGTCCTGAATGCAGCTCATGATGAAGACGAAGCACAGTGGCCACCTATTGCCTCCCTCAAATCTTCTCTATTATTGTCTTCAAGAGGCTTTATAGCCGTCTTATCCAGCTGATGGCCCATGCACTGTACCCAAAGATGAGAGGGCAGGGGTGCCCAACAGGGTCAGATGTTTCTGCCCTTATGCCATGGCCCATTATTCAAAAGCTCTTATTCTGCCAGACCCCCTGGGTCTGTGTAAGCCTTGCCGACTGTGATCCTGTTGTCTTATTAAAAGAAGCTACGGGGCACAGAAGTCATCCACCTTAGGTTCCTGACACACCAATCAGCATCTGCGATGTCTCCTCCAGCTGACCTCTCATACGACCTTTGTAATGGGGTTGAATATTTAAGAATGATCAGCAGCAAATGGAGGCTGGAATGGAGAGCTCTACCATCAGCAGTGCTAAGTGACCACTGTGATGAAGTGATGCTATAATCATAATACCATAATCCCATGATCTTCAGACTTTGACCCTTATGAGGTCATAATGGGCCCTTTCATTCAGCAACACATGTTGGCTCTTAAGTGAGAATTCTCTAATTATAAAGCTATATTTCTTCAACAAAGCACCATATTCAACTTTAGCTAATTGAGTTTGCATAACTACCAAAGTTACGCAGAAAGTATGTGTGATTGATGACAGAGCAGATTTATATAGAGTAGATGAAGGAACCTCAAATTACAGATATTAAACAAAAATTACATGAAGGGATGAATGAGAAAAAAATACAAATTTGATAAGTAAACCTAAATTCACAGTATCTCATTTATATCCCAGATACTATTATACAAAAATCGTAGTAAATTTCTTTTGATATTGCTATTATACAAATTTTATCTATCAGTTAGTTGACAAACTGCATACTTTTTCTTGCTGTCTAAAACACCACGTTTATTTGTCCTTTGAGATTTTTTACCCCCAACATAATACTTGACCTTATATGATGGATTAAATGTCATGTTTTGCTATATTTTATCTAACCTGTACTAATTTGAACACATAAGAAACAAAATAACTTATGCTGACATATACATACTACTGTCAATGTTATATTTTTTCCTTACAAACAATATTCAAGCAATATTGAGAATTTTAATAATTAAAAAGCAGAGTGACTGACATTGAATCAAATTACATTTTCCAAATAAATAAATAAAGAATGATTTTCTTAGTCAATTCCTATTAAAGCTCCTTTGGGTAGATTATGGTGCTTGGAAACAAGCCAGAGGGGTTATTATAAAAAGCATGGTAAGAACTCACACTGCTAATCATGCTGTATACAATATATACTAAATAAACAATACAATAAAAAAATAAATAAATATACAATAAAATGAAACACTTTTAGAATGAGTTCTCTTTATTATTCATAATAAAATTACAGCCTTACAAAATGTGAAAATAAAATCACACTTTTGATAGTAAGCAAGTTTTTCCAAAAGAGCACAATCATTAATCAACACACAAAAATGATTTATAATGACAAGTCATCCAAAATCCTAATGGCAACATTTAAACAATGCAGCAGCTAATTTGAAGGTTTGTTGGATCAGTCCCTGCTGAGTTTCAGGCTCAGGGATATTTCATAATGGGCTCACTGCTCAAGGTCCAAAGTCACTGCTCCGATTTTACCAAGGCAAAACGTGATGAAGGATAATCTCACATCCCCCACCAGTTCCCCCTCATCCTCTCCAAGGTTCTTGTCAGGTAAAGTAAGGCTCGGGTCATACATCTCAAAAGGTATTTCAGGTTTTGCGTCAGTTCCTCGAACACGTGGCCATAAAATTCGCCTGGTTGCTACATTTGGCAGTCAGGTCAGGAGTAATGACGTTCACCAACAGATCTGGCATTGCAGGGATGAAAGCGGTCATTCTTGTTAGACATTGCACTCATGAGCCACAAATGAAAAGGCTATTTTTCCCCATATCTTCCTGTACGATCATATGATTGGATAAATCAAGTGAAATGCGCTTAACAGGCAGTGTGATAGGCAATGGCTTGGCTCCATAAGACCAAAAAGCCAATGCAGCTTAACGGATGTGTTGTTACGATTAATCGGCCAAGTAACTTTATCCTACATTTAGATTAGCTGCTAATGACTGGGGAAACAGGTGCTTTGCAATCCAAGGAAAGTCCACGTAAACCTGAAAACAACAAGCCTGTCAATCGCACCAAGGAAGGCTGTAGGAGTTAAGCAAAATTAAAATAGAGGTATGAGGAAGCTATTTGAATTGAAAACTATTTCGCAACTATAGAAGTATGCAAATATCCTATGAATAAACCTTACTGCATTCAGAGTATACAAAATAACACTTTACTTAATGCTATGGTCAACAACATCTGAGTACAAAAAATGAAAGATCTATTAATTAAGCTTTCCTATTCCATGTCTTTTTTAGAATAATTGGTGTGTTCATTAAATATCTGACAGTTTAGTATAGAACCACACAATGGGAGAAGACTATGGCAAATCCATTGTAAAACAAAAAGTGAAGTAAACAGGCACATGGACCATCTAAAGAGGCTTCATGTTGCCTCTTCCATCCTTTACTTTTCTCCGCTACTCACTGCATACACCTTTGACCCTGAATAAAGTATTTGTTACAAGATCTTTCTCTAATGCACATGGAGTGCTTCCAGAAGTGGTACCATTGCCATGTACTGTGTGTGTGTGTGAGTTTGTTATCACCTAGGAAAATAAAGAACAAAAAATGTAACATGGTCTGTTAGTGCAGTAAAAATGCAGAATAACCAGTCTAATGTACAAGATAAATTTCCCTCTTTCGGGATCACATCTCCTTCATACCTTAAATACAATAATATAATACTAGCATCCACTGTAATTATTGAAATCATCACTGATCCTCTGAGAAAATCAGTAGAATTACCAGTAAAACTTGCAATTGGCGTATTTAAATCAATAGTGCAAATCACAAATCGCGCAAAAAAAAATCAGATTTAAATAGGAAATGAATAAAGCATCTGTGGAGCATCATAAAGTCTTTGATCCCGGATGTGCTTGGAGTCCAGGAGAAGATGAGAACCCTACCCATTCATGCTGAAAGTGCCTGTTGGTTTATAGCAGGAGAGGTGAACCAAAGATTCAGTGCCCTCTCTTCCTCTCCTCGCCTCATCTCCACTCAGCTGAATTTGTCTTGGATATTCATTAGGCTGCTGCTAGACTTGACTCTTTTGGCTGTGGATCAGGATGAGAGAATAGATTAGAACTAAACTGGCAAGAGATGCAACAGAATATTCAATGCACAGTTTAACATTGAAGTCAGAGGCCTGCTTAGAGCATTAAAAACACACTTTGTCTTCTACATGTTTTGACAGATGCTAAAATTAGTAGTTTTTGAGACCGCTTGGTTAAATACTGTCTGAAAGTGATTGACCATGAAATCTAAAGCAGTAAGGATCAAGCATGCACAATTAACACTATCAAAGACCTTTGCCCTTTTACTTAAACTTTCTAAAGAGACAATTTGCAAGGCTAGGCAAGTTACTTACGGTGTATAAGCTTGCGCTTCTTTTGTTCTGAGTGCAGGAAGCTGCTTAAGTAAAAGATGATGGGGAGGAAGAGCATGAAGCTGGACACTGCGATGACAGGCACCGTCTCCTCACGAGGTAACAAGCATCTAAAGTTTTTACTCCACAGGTGCTGTGTCATGTTCATCTGAGAAATAAGCAAGGTAATGATACCACAATTCTGATAGTTCAATCATAATCTGCTACCATTACGGCTGGTTCACAATGTACCAACAAAAATGTATTTATTCATTTATTTTAACACCAACATCTAGCAAAAACAGAAGAAATAACAAAAGTAATTCAATTAACAAGAAGCTAAATAAGACATTTAAGATTATGGTGGACAAAAAATCTAAAATACATTGTATCAACAAAAAAACAATGGCTTTTGTTAGATTAGTGTGTTACATTACATTAATGTGCTTGGGAGATGATTTTATGATTTTATCCAAAGGAAAATGTATTTTAGATATACACTTTATAATGGATTTTAATACATTTCCTGGAAATAAAACCAATAACCGTGGTGTTCCTACTGTCTGTAAAGTCTGGAATACACTACACCACTTTTAAAAGAATAGATCATCCAAAAATGAAAATTTGCCATCACTTGGTCACCAATGGATCCTCTGAAGTGAATGGGTGCCGTCAGAATGAGAGTCAAAACAACTAATAAATGCATTACAATTACCCAAAAGTAATCCACACTACTCCAGGCCCCACTAATTAATTTCCTGTGAAAAGCTGCACTTTTGTAAGAAACAAATCTAACATTAAGACTTAATAAACTTTTGGTTAATAACTAATTGGCTTAAATACGAGTCCTCTATCCATAATGTTGCTTTCTCCAGTGAAAAAGTCATCTCATCTGAATCACGAGAGAAATATGCACAAATCAAGCACAAGTGAAAACAGTCCAAAACAGTTCTAAACAAATATGTTGCTGAATTTTAATGTAAGAGGACAACAGAGGATGGACTTTTTTACTGAAGGAAGCGTTATTATGTATTATGGACATGCACTTTTTGGCTTCACAAGAGGTTAATTGATGGACAGAGTAATGTGGATTTCTTGTAGATTATTGTGATGTTTTACCAGCTGTTTGGACTCTCCTCTGACGCCACCCATTCACTAAAGTGGATCCACTGGTGAGCAAGTGATGCATTGCTAAATTTCAAATCTAAACAGTTCGTAAAATATGTTTGATATTCTCCATCTGGATAAAATCATAGTCTAAGGCTAAAAAAAAGGCTGTGCCCCTCATAATAACTCCAACTGCCCAAAATCTGAAGACTGGCTCTGACTTTGGCAACTATCGTCAACTCGTCCAGACTGCAAATTGAAGCAAATTTTTTTTTTTTTTGACAAAAGTCATTGTGTTTTCCAGCCTTTAGTTTGCACAGATGTAGGACTATAGAGGGTGCTGTTTTACAATTCTCCCATAATTCCACATCATAAAACTTAATTTGATAATAACCTAGGACTGTGTTTGAATCAAATAACAGGGTTTGTGTATATTAGTCCATACTCACTGCGTCTTCCAAATCAATGCAGAGCATTTGGTTTTTCTCCATTCTACCATAGACCTCGTTCAACCTTTTGTATGAGGTTTTGCAGTCTTTACACAGTTCAGTGTGGTTCCTCTATTAAGAGAACAGGATACTCTCAAACTCAAGTAATCTCTTTTAACTGAGCTTGTACCCATCTACAGTATATCAGCCATTTGATTTTACCTGATATTGTTCAAAGCAGGAGAGTGACTGATTCAGAGTGGCCATGAAGTAAAGAGTATCATTGGAAAGAGCATCTTGATCTTCATTCAGACATTCTAACGAGCAAAGAATATTAGAATTATTCTCAAAATAATCATAACTAAATAACACAATTTCCTCATACTGCAACAAGTGGTTAAGAGTGAAAATGAAAGAAACATGCTTAAGGGAAGCATGCAGTCTAATGTCAGTTTTAATTGAACCTACAAAATTTCAGGCTATGTTACTTACGCTTGCATTCTGCTGATGTCCAGATCTCATCTAATTTGATGAAGAGGGTATAGAGCAGCATCAACCTATCAGAACGCATCAGGCTGTCATGGCAACTGACATTTCCAGGGGCAGACTATGAGGACAACACATAATCACAAGTCATAAAGTATTTTGCAATTAACTTCTACAGCTGCAGTCCATAACTGATTTGTGACCTAGACCACAAAACAAAACCAGCCTTAAGTCACATGGGTATATTTGTAGCAATAGCCAAAAATACATTGGGTCAAAATTATACATTTTTATTTTAAGCCAAAAATAATAAGATATTAAGTTAAGATCATGTTCCATTAAGATATTTTGTAAATTTCCTACCTTAAATATATCAAAACTTAATTTGTGATTAGTAATATGCAATGCTAAGGACTTCATTTGGACAACTTTAAAGGCGATTTTCTCAATATTTCGATTTTTTTTGCACTCTCAGATTCCAGATTTTCAAATATTTGTATCTCAGCCAAATAATGTCCTATCCTACCAAACCATACATCAATGAAAACCTTATTTATTCAGCTTTCAGCATGTATAAATCTCAATTTAAAAAAAAATTGACCTTTATGACTGGTATTGTGGTCCTGGGTCACATTTTATAACAACAACTTGTACAATGACAAAAAACATACAGTACAGCATACAGTATGTATTGACATCTTTAGTTTTTTTTTGTTTGTTTGTTTGTTTTTTTAAGGTACAATGAGAATATGATACTGATGTGTAACTATTTCAATAGACTTGGTTTATTTTAAAATAACTAAAAATAGCTCTTTAAGCATACTAAAATATTCCAGTCAGTGTGAGTCGGGCTTGGTGAAACAGTGAACACAATCACGAGACATGAGTGCATGTGACTCGTGGAATTCTGTCAACCTTCAAACCACGCAAAAACATTTATAGGCACTTTGGTGTTAAAAATTTCGACTTGGAATGAACACCTACTTTGTCAAATGATATGTTTTTATAAATGTCCTCCAGACTGTTGAAGCCAGTGTAACAGTTCTGACAGACTCTGACAGGTCGTGCGTAAGTCACGAGGCAGTTCGCGAAAGTCACGTAGCGTTGGCCGTAGATGCGAAGCAGTTCAGTACAATACTCGTTGACTTCCAAGTCTTCTGGAAATGTAGATGAAAGACTGAGAGAGTAGAAAGATCCCAGAGTGCTCTTCTGTGATACAGGAATGACTGCTGATGGCAGCTTTAGTGCACTATCGCCATTCATTTCTGAGGGGGAAATAGAGCAGTTAGCAACGGCAATGAAAGTAACAGCCCACTCTGCAAATAAGCATGCTGATACAAATGTAAATCTCGTTAACAATTCCATATCTTATACACTCCAAATACGACACACTGTCGCTCTGCGTTTTGCAACTCTACACAGCTTCCTGTTTTCTTTCTTTTCCCTACGTCTCGGTCACATGACTAGGGTTAGGTAATCTCGCGATGGACGGGATTTCAACTGATAGGTGCACCTGTAATGTCTAAAGTGAAGTTGAAAGAACTGGATATTGAGTCACGTTTCATCCATTTCCAGTTGTTTTGTGTCTATACAATGTACTATTTAAACTAAACTATTTGGTTTAATTTGATCAGAACTAGGCTACGTTTCTATTTCAGAGTTGAATTTCTGCATGTTGATCAGAATTACAGAAAGAGCTGAATAGGGTCAATGATGCCTCTGCCATCTTTTTAACGTAAAATATATGTGATACCCATTTGTTTTTATGAAATATACATTTTACTACTCGTTTATAACATTCTCAATTGTTAGGAAAATAGGCTATATGGTGCTGTTACGGTTTTATTGGAGTTAAAAAGTTGCAGAATGAGTATATTTTCGTTCTAGTTTTTGATCATGCACACAGAATATAGTCTATTTGTTTTATTTATCCCTATCAATATGAATCTATTAGTCAATGTGAACAACATAAACGCAAACACTTCATTTAAACCGTTTAAAATCGGGATTAATAAACAGTCGAATATATTTCTAACTGTATTCTTTTTGTATTTCATTATTCTGTGTGTGTTTGGAGACAGTGTCTTTATGAAAACGCTCTGCATCCTCTCTCTTCTCGGTTTTTGACACCGCGTGCAATTTTGTGAATGTGTAGGCTATAGCGCGCGCGGCCAAAAAATAATTACGGAGTCAAGGTAAACGATCTGGGCTCCGTTTCTGATTGTGTTAATTGTCGCAAACCCTCGAATCAAGCCACTGCAGTCAATGGTCTTTAATGTGAAATTAGTGCCTCTTGATAACTTGCAGTCCGCGGCAATTCTGCAGTCATGAGAGCCTGATGGAAATGGGGGAATGAGAATGCCTCGCATTAAGGGCTATTCTACTGCGTGCGCTGATGTCTGAGGGTAAATTCGCAGGTTTTATGTCGTGGATTGTGGCATTAGCTCTCCACTACTACAGTGTAGCAGCTCTGTTATTGTGATAGCCTTAAATTGGATGATCCAAGTCATCCCTCCACTCCTCCCCCCGGCAGCTGAATTCATTGGTTTGCGAGCAGGGAGTTTATGAACGAGGTATTGAACCTACAAAATCATACAGTGATACCAAGAGGACGTTTGCAGTGAAAATACCCCCAAATATTTTATATATATTATATATGTTACGTTACCTCACATGTCCTGGAAGAAATAAAGATTATCGATCATTGTGAAACTAATCAGGTTTTTATACAGGTAGGCCTACAATTACCATGTGCATTAAGGACTTCATTTGAATGCACAACGGAGACAGAGGCAATTGAAAGAGGACAAAAATCACTAATTAGGCTGCCTAAGTGAAGTATCTTCATCGACTGGAGAGCTCTTAAGCAAAGGGATGAGCCTGGATAACTTGGCGTAAATTCTGAAAATTATCAATGTGCGTGGCTCAAGATTATCCTAATGACTTTTTAAAACGAAAAGCAGGTTTTCAAGGAACTACAAGAGACATTGATTTCATGGGTCATCTGACCCTCACAATGATTTCTGAGGTAAATGAGGCATGTGATCGTGATGACATTATCCCGAGATTAATTATTTTGTTCTTCCAATTAAGGCGTTTAAAATCTTAAAACAAAATTCTGCCATTCAAATAAAAACTTTTGGATTAAACACCAATAACAGCTGCACAACTGAATGTGGATTCTTTGATCGTTTGTCTTGGTGAATAACTTAATTGACAGTTAATGAATTTTTGATAGGCCTGTCTTGATAAAATACAAATACTACATATTAAAATTTTAAGATTAAAAAATAAATGCGATTCGGTCTCGTTTTTTTTTCTGCAGTGTAGCTTGACTGTTCGCGCTTCAGTGCCTTAACTTTGACTTGGTAATTCATGACTCGGACTATAGGGACCAGTTAAGGGTTAACTAAAGACTGCGCGCTTTAAGCCGTAGTCTAAACCTGGAGAGAGAGGAGCTGTAAAGTTATGCAGAAGTTATTCTCCATCCTTTGGGACGTCCCTAATCCCCCAAAACCGCGTTCTTTTATGTGAGAACTGTGCCTCTTTTCTTGTTTTGCGCTGCCTATACAACATAAAGTCAGACTGCATTTAATGCTTATGGCGGGATGTGAGGGGGATTTTGCAAATGCGAGGCCCCCTTTCGCCGAAATATTGCTCTCTAAACGTCGTGTGAGTCTACCAACCCAAAGCGACCCCAGATTCTCCCCCCGGTGTCTGACTCGAATGACAAACCAGCCTGATTTCACTGCATCGCTGGGAAATGTTGGGGCTGATAATAGAGATTTCGCTTTCATTTTTTACGGTTGACTTGGTTATTGTTGCTTTTCTTTTGCCCTGATTCCTTCCAGGGATTAGGCCTGACTTCCCCACTAGCAGCGGCCAAAGTGAACCGAACTGGGGATGACAACTGACGAGGATCAAGGCTTGGGCTATTCTGCCCTCTGAGAGGTATGTGAACCGAGAAGAGCTGGACAGGAGAAAAGCCCTTGGACAGGAGAAACGCGCTCTCAATGTTCAATGAACGGATGCCCCTAAATAGCTTAGAGAGCCCTGCAGCCTAATTAATTACTCCTAAATTTCTCATTAAAACGTGAATATCAGGACCTCACTATTTTACATACTATAAATGGTGGTCCTATATAAATTTTTTTTACAAATAATAAAATAAAATTCAGAACAAAACTGAGACAACTTTTAAAGAGGAGATTATCCTACAGTTGCCCCATTAAAAGTAAAACAAAACAAGAGTGGGATAAGAGATGGTAAGAGATTGTAGTTAGTAATTTCTATATGACAGTACCTTTTTAAAGAGTTACAAACTGCGATACACAGTTTCTTTTTCCCCCCAAGTGGGATATAGGCCAAATGTGGTGTTAGATTTTTAGCATACACTAAAAAGGTACAAAAGCTGTCACTGGAGCAGCAGGCTACCTTTTCAAAGGCCTACACCTTTGTACCTAAATATATGATTATGTTTTGTACCTAAAGATATTGGTAACTTAAAGGTACATATTATTACAAAAGTATACCATTTGAAAAGGTTTATACACATTTTTTAACAAAAAATTTGGAAAATTTGTATTTTGTTTAGAATTAGTTCTACACTCTAAAAAATGCTGGGTTAAATACAACCCAGCGCTGGGTAAAATATGGACAAACCCAGCGATTGGGTTGTTTTCAACCAACAGTTGGGTTAAATGTTTAACCCAACCTTCTGGGCAGTAACCCCACCGCTGGGTCATAGGAGCATATGTGTTCCTGCTGGAATACAAAAAATGTATATCAGTTTGGTGGTCAAGGTGGAACACTGGTCTGTGAGGTCGATCTCGGCCCCAATTCATACAATTCAAGCTGATCCATCATCTAGATCAGTTTGGACCAGCTAATGACCATAAATGACCTGGATGGTCTAACTAGAGACCATGTAAAACCAGCTACCTTTCACAGGGGCAGTACCTTTACCTTATTTTCATACGAATTATTGAACTGTATTTTATGTGTCCTCCTCATCTCTTATTCTTAACTGTTTTAATTAATCTAAATAAATTTTTAAATCATTTAAAATTTTTAAATTCCTTGCTTTAATTGTTGTGATTATTTTTATGATTATTTAAATTCCTTTTATGTAAAGAACGTTGAATTACCATTGTAATTGAAATGTGCTATATACATAAACTTGTCTTGCCTTATTCACCCCTAAAGGGTGCATAGTACCTTAAATGGACATATACCTAAATGGTACGTATTAATACCTTTTGAAAGGGTACCCACCATTATGCCATGTTATGTTAGCTGATAAAAGCATGGTGATTAATGAACATAATATGTCAGAGCCGTTTGACACATCCTGAAAGTTTCTGTTCTGCTTTAGCAAAACAACTTCTGCTAACAGGCTAAACTTTGCTTCTGGCTAGACCTTCACAAAAAATATAATTTTACAACTAGGCCTACATATATGCTGGTGGGTTTTATTAAACATATTCTAATAGAGGAATATGTGTTTTCTCAAAAAGCACAAGTCCTGTATGATGTTTTTATTCACCCTGTGAAAAAATTGTGGATTGTATCAATTGTTTTACTATTAAAAAAACACATTTGAACTGAGTGGTAGCACTAATCAATGATGTCTTGAGCTTGTCTCCCTCAACTAGACATGTTGACCATTCATGAAGAAGTTAATCTTTGTTGACGGTGTTGTGCTCCACTGTCGGCCCGCTTGGCTCGCAGATCCAAGTCTCCAACAACCAGGCGGGATAATTACCAAACATGTAGCCGACGAACTCGATTCACAATGGTGCATTGACTTCCTCACTGTTGGTCGCCTCTGTGGAGCGCCACGGCGAGGCCATCGCTCCACGCAAGTCACCCCAGGCATCGTTCACCCGGAACGGAAGGCAGGGACGTCTTGTTTCATAACAAGACACGATGCTGACTTCTTTCAGCTCCAGCGAACTGGACATAAAACACGGCTGACAACCTCCAGCACAGGACGATCAGAGAGGGAGAAGGGGGTGGTTAGAGTTAGCTTTCTCTGGGGAAAAAGAGTTACAGTTAGAGTTTACTAAGTGGACTTAAACTGCATGAACATTTTAGCAATATTTTACAGGTCACTTTTTGTTGCGCCTAGGATTTACTCTTTGTGTAATGTTATCGTCTTGGACTTATAGTGACAACCTAGAGGCCTGGGTCCACCAAACGAAAAAAGTCAGCCATGATTGTTTTTTTTTTTAACTGAGAAAATGCATCCGAAATCATATAATTCCCTCATCTATAGTAGGCAAAAAACAGTATATGAAAAGAGAAGTATGTCCGAATTCATAGTATTCATAATCATTTGGTGTGCATCCGATGGACACTTTACTATCCCATGACCATGAGGCCTCAGGAAAGGATTCGTGAATGACTGTGAAGTGATGCAACTGATGCTGGATCCTTTTTTTACGGTCACAAAGTATTACTGATTCAAAAGAAGTGC